TATGAAGTCACTTCGAACACGTCTTTCTGACAATTTTACGTAATCAAATATTTTTTCCAAAATTTGATAGTTGCGTCGTTGTTGCACTGGATTACCGATATTTTGTTTTCATAGCTCGTCGATATTAATATATTTTCGTTCTTTAACTAATTTTGTACCATAACCGAATGTGCGATTTCTAAAATACCATTTTACATCCATAAAGCAGTGATAGATAAATTTGACATTTCCTCAATTGACTTTCATTGCATTTAGCCCTCGGCTGTAGAGGTCACTGGGTTCGTCCATACAATCTTTGCAATGTTTTCAAATAGGTAATATAACTCATAAATAATATTTAAATGCTTGTCGATTATCAATTATTGTATAGTATTTTCTCAAAGGATATGATGAATATATCATATCCTTTGAGAACATTAATTAAAAAAAAAAAAAAACATTTTTTTTATTGTTATTTTTTTAAACAAAATTTGAATTATTTAACTGAATTATTTATATATTAAGTTTTTACATAAATTAAGCAAAGGCAAAATACTACATATTGTCTTTTAAATCTGTATATATGAAAAAGAATTTATATATGTTTTAAAACCAAATGATCAAAAAATAAAATTAATAATAAATAAAATTTATGTGTACGATGTTTTGAAGTTTGTTTTATGATATAACTATATATATATTTATATATATATATACATTTTGTTTTTTTCATTATTTATTCTGTCCTCTTACAGTTAATTCGTTGGATGAAAGCGGTTGAAGAAAGGTATTTATAAGGACCATATTTTTTATATTATAGGACTATATTATTTCTCATTCTTTTATAGAAACTTTTAATATTTCTCTACAATTTATTTAATTTTTTTATGTGAATTTATTCATATTTATATATTTTATATTATTTTTATAAGAAATGTACTCCCTTTTCACCTCGTCAAAACCTAGGATTTATCCCTATATATATATATATATACGTATATATATATATATATATATATATATATATATATATATATATATTATATATATATATATATATATATATATATATATATATATATATATATATATTATATCGGTCCTAGGATCGACAATCCTAATATATTTAATTAACATATTACAATTGAACGACTTGATAATAAACAGCATCTATGCCGTTTAAAAATTATTGATAATGAGTATGTCTAAGCATAACTGAACGATTTATAAGGAATTTAAAAACTGTTTATGGATAGCCGTGGTGATGGAGTATGTTAAGGTGGTTAGGCTAGTGTTTTACTTTGAATTATATCCATTAACACAGACTTTGGGGGAGGGAGAAGGACGAGGAGGGCGATATTCTTCCTATAAAAATAGAGTGAGAGCGAGAATATCGTTTTGCCCTTCCCCCACAATATTCTATAGAATAAAAATAAAATCATGAATAATTTATACGAATAAATAAATAAATAATATAAGTAAACTGAAATAAATTAAGGAAATAGTTAAAGTCGCTTAGATGAATGGCCCAGCTAAGGTCCTAAAGTAGATGGAGTATTTTACCACACCTTATTTTCCTACAAATGAACTTTTAGTTTATATCCAAAGATAATTATATGTAGCAACATATCCTAGGATTTTATGATTCATGAGCACCCTTCCATTTTTGGTTGAAGATTTTATCATATTTTCCGTGGCAAATTTAAAGTTTGGAAGAATTGATAGTTAATCTCACTATGAGATGAACTTAGAGTTCATCCTCAAACCTTTAAATGAAAATACAAATATTTAATGAATTTAATTGCTTTTTAAACATATTTTCAGATATACCCAAAAAAACCTAACAATAAACATGCAAATTTATTTTTCTGTATAATATTTTATTGTTCGTTTTACAATAATCATGTCAATTATCATAGTTTTTATACATAATATGAACATCCGAAACATTTTTGGGGGGCCCATCGCCCTCCCCCACAACCAGAATGGAAAAACTGTGGCTCTGATTACATTTGAACTAAAATTGAATATTTAATATTTTTAATTTACTTTTTATTAATGACACCAGTTGTTAATAAAAACCGGCATTGTATCTGGCTGATTCAGCAGGGCAACGACCTGGTCTATTTGATGGTGACAATGAAACAAAGCAGTTTTTCTCTGTTAATGTTTTGTTTATTGTTACGAAGGTCAGGGGAGGCAAACAACCAACTCGGAAATATTCAAAAGTAATGGGATCCAAAACAATAATAGGTACAATACAATCACTTCTGTATTTTTATGTAAAAGTGTACGGAATAGCAAAATTATTATTTTTAAATTAAGTATTGAGTAGACTGCAATACGTACTTTAAATGTATGGCTTGTTATGCATACTTTGAGACTTGTCCCTCATCAAAGTTCTTTTCAGATTTTAGGAAGAATTGCCAAGGATATTGCTTGTCTTCACGGTTTTTTATATTAGGGATTTCTTCATTCGTTCCCCCGTCATTTATTCATTTATTTATTAGCTTTTATTGGAGTCAAGATTACTTCTGAACGTATGTTAACCATATCGTTAAATATGGTAAGCGTAAATCCATATTGATTTTAGATATTCATTATTTACATATCTCCACCATCATTATAAATTGTGTCTCTATATGAATGAAAGTTTAGAGCATCTGTAGTAATAATTACAATAAAGTCTCGGATTATTATATAACCTCAATGGAATCAAAAGACTCTATAAAAAAACCCCACATTTTATACAGAGCATTAGATAAACATTTTATACATTAGATAAACACTTTATACAGAGCATTAGAAGAATAGCAAAATTATAAATAATTGAGCTTTGAATAAAATTGAAAATAAAGAATGATCTAATTATTTTGGAACGTTTTCTTGGATCGACTTATTTTTGTATTACCATTATCCTAAATATAAAAGCTTTGTAAATATTGCTAATATAAAAGGGAAGCAGTCTAAGCAATGCCAACTTTAGGGTCAGACAATCCGGAGGTACTAAACTGAAGGGTCGCTTGCCACGTATTTGTTTCTAATTAAAAAAATACAAAAGAGTTTGAGATGAGTTAATTTAGTCTATTCAACATGCAGCTGAATTGCAGTAATATATACTACCTTAAACAATTTATTTTATATTGGTTTTCATAGGGAGACAGAGAGAGGGCGACCATAACGTAATTGTTGGAGGGCACGAATTGGTGCTTTGAAGCACTCTTACCATGCCTGTAATAGAAATAAAATAAAAATTTATCAAGAAATCGGTACGAGTCCTGATACAGGGAGAAGAAACTAAAGCCTTCAAATTTCGAACTTTACGGCAGAGAAATGGACCCGCTGTTGTTGTTCAACTTAAAACCGGAGAAGATGGTGAGAACAATATTACGTAAAAATGGATGGGTGCTACGGAATGAATCGTAAAGGTTCGGATATGCAGATGATATATCTGTCCTTGGAAGCAATCAAGAGGAAAGTAGGAGATTCGCCAAAATTTTGATAATAAAAACAGAGAAAATCGCAGAAAAATCCTTCATCACCATGCGTTCATTAATTGAGCCTTTTAGTTGACAGAATGACTCACTCCAATTTCAAATTTTTTGAGTAAAGTCATTTAAGTGCTACTTCTAATTGGAAAGTTTATTCATGTGCAGACAGTAAGTTGATTCCAAAGTAGGTGATTCCACTGTTGAAATATAGAACTGTGACTAAAGTCATACATTTTCCCACAAGAAATGTCGCTAAAATTAGTAATAAAAAATTTTGAAATTGGGGTTAGTCATTCTGTCAACTGAAAGACTAAATTGATCCCTATTATATAAATATAATTCATGAATAAATTATAAAATTTAACGGATTTTATTATTATTATATTTTAAAAAACGCATGTCAAGTAAGGTCAGTGTAGCATTCTCACCATTTCTATTGGTTGCAGAATTAGTTATATTTTAAAGTATTGGCTTGTCAAGGAAAATAAATTTATCGCATATTTATCCAAAAGTGTTCGGTTTGTCCCTTAACTTTTTTTTTCTACTTGGAGCCAAAGTTTGTTTTTGAAACGTCAGTGTAACAAGAAAAACACATTTGCGACTGTATACGCCAAAGTAGGGATTGAAATTTGATCGAGTTGATTTGAGACCTTCTAGAAATTAATCTCAAAATTTCGTTCAAAGTAGATTAACGGTAGTAGGTAGTGCGCCGGTGGATTTGGTTACAGATAGATTGGCCCGCTGTAGCCCTTCAAATGCGATTCCGTTCAGGGCGATTAGGAATTTATTTCATGTCAGATCAACGATTCAGTCACGATCTTCCTACATTGATAGATAGAATAAGTTAGTTACTTATTGTATGTCAAAAATTTCGTGGTAGATAGGAACGGAAAAATAAGACAAAAAAAAGTACTACAGACCGGCAAACTAGATACGCAACTTTGTTCCTTGATGTTTATAACTTAAAATTCCAGTCGATATTTTAGAGAGGGAAAAAAAATGTTTTCACTTCCTTCAAGAATATAAGGCTGCCTTACATTGAGTTATGAGGAAGTAAGATTTTGATATTTAAGTGGACGTATCCAAAAACGTAGATCTGAAAAAGAAAAACTGAAATCTTATTTAGATTCAGCCCCCTTAAACTTTTTTTTTCGCATGTATTAGGAAAAACAACTCAGTTTTATTAAAACTCTCTGCTTGAGCTTAAGTTTAGTACTTATTGCTCGTATGTTATCAACTATAAATTAAATACAATCGAGGTTAACATGCTGGTCCAACAATGTTATCCCGCCTTACCAATCGGTTTCATAATTCAATTTTATTTTGTTTTCCTCTTTCCGGCTATCGTATGAATAATGTAAGATAGCATTGATGGCCCGGGCTGGAAGAAGAAGTGAAGTTCCTCTTCTTAAAACTATCATTCACTTCATAACCCCCAATATCCTGAGGGCGGAGAAGGAGAGGGGTGGGAGGAGTCACAAGTGTATAGGACAAGTGGGGACGAAATTGGATCTTGAGGAGCTATTGTCGCCGACAACGCAGTTGACGTTGTAGCTTCATTTGTGACTGACTTAGCTAGAACACAGGTTAGTTACATATTAATTCAATTTAGTTTTTGTACTCGTTTTTATATTTGCTTCTTAATAGCAAATATGATATCATACTCTTACTTATAAATATAACTCTCTTCTGTTTTAATCATAAAAGAATCAATCAAATATGCAGTTTTTTAATTTTTTATTTGTGGTAGCATTCGAAGCTTTTTAAGTTGAACATATATTTTATTTATTTCTAGCCTAAAAAGTATAGCCTGCGGTATAGACCCTTTTTTATCAAATTATTAACATCCGACTGAAACTTCGTAAATAGCTTCATATCATCGTAACCTATTATTTACGAAAAATCTTGGAATTACGGCGTTTTCAATCTGGAGGCCGGAAACTTTGTCTATATAATTAGGCACTGAAAACTCCTAAATGGGTATTTGTTTTCCACTTTGATCGTAAGATAATTTGATCACAGAATTTGTAAAAAGGTGGCCTACAAAATTATTGAGCCTTTCGCCCTAAGCAACCTCGTTATTTTGACAATATGTTCACGCCCAAACCGCTCAATATTTTTTAAGGCCATCTTTTTTCTCGACTTTGTGCACAAATTATCTTACGATTCAAATGGAAACCAAATAGGTGGTTATGATTTTTTAATATCTAATTAGATATACAAAGTTTGCCGATCTCCAGATTAATAACACCCTAATTTCGAGAATTTTCGTGAATAAAATATTTTGTAGGTTACAATGAGATGAAGCTAATTATGAAGTTTTAGGCGGATGTTAATAATTTGATAAAAAGAGTTCTGTACCATACCTAAATGTTTAATAAAATAATGTTTATTGTAATTGTATCAGTAGGAAATATTTAAAAATAAGTAATAAATATATTAGCTTTTGGCTGGTAAGGTTGGGACTGGCTTTGACGAGTAAAATTTTCAAGAAATGTCGCTACAATAATCAATTAAATGCTTTTCAGGAATTCACAGAACGGAAGCACCATATTTCCCTCCCAAAAATTTGTTTATTCGTTTTTCTATATTTCGAATTGATATCAAGCTATTCGACAAGCTCCCATGATGATACAACTCTAGTACATCCCTCCGTACGCCAGAAGTCACTAGATAGAGATAACTCAATAAAAACAAAAAGCTCGCATGACGATGTTTTTTTCCAAGAAAAATGGAAAAATAATTATTTAAACCAATTTAAATATGGAAATAATTTCTTCAAAACGGACAAACGTTGTTCAAATTGAGAAACATGAGTAAATAAAAATGTTTTTTAATTGTGGATTGATGGTTGACTGTCGTGTACAATCAAGAGAAGGGTGGTTTGGATGATCAGTCAGAAATAAAAAGGCAAAAATAAATAATAATATTTATTTTAATACAAATTTTATGTAAGCCTGAAGGTTTAGTTAAATTCTTCAATAGCATTCAATTGAATAAGTAACAGAACATTCGAGGCGATTAGCGATTGATTTTATTGCAGAAATAGTCTTTTGAAATGGAAATGGATTTGAAATAGTCCATTATAGAATGGAATCGCTCCTGGAAATTTGGGAGACCGGTAGGTACCATTCTGCCAGGGCGAGTTTAACGAGTGGCAATATTAAAAAAGGCAATTGATCAATATATATTTTTTGGAGGGGCCAGAGATATCTTATATTAGTTATTATCCAAGTATAAAAGTTCAAGAACAAAATAGAATTTAAATTTTAATCAAAGTTAAGCAATAGTTTTTACTATTCGGTTTTCTGAATTGCTAGAAGTTTTCTTTGGTTTTAATTTTTGTATTTCTTTTTCAATGTTTCGGAAGAAGTGACCGTAAGTGACTGTTATAAGAAATTATGAAAGAATTGCTTTCGGTAACCTACAATTTTTTTTCCATATGATCAATTTTATTACTTTTATTTGACACTAAGAATTGAGGAAGGAAGATAAGGCTGAGTTTTTAAGACAAGAAATTAAGATACGATACGATAAAAAAAAAAATACTTTTTTAGAACGATACCAATCTATGCAGATTGACCAAAAACTTAACAGATTTAAATTGAATCTATATTATTCGATGTCTCATTTACACGGTCGCAGTTTTCATCGTCATATTATTGCGAAGAGAGTAAGATAACGACAGTTCTATGTTTCCTGGTATAAAGTAAATCTGGTGCGTTAGTACAATGGTGGGTATAGAACAGCTATAACCATAACTATTGAACTAAAAGAATTTGCTGATGATTAAAAAAAAACAACTACGATATGAGCTTTAGACCACACGATAGAAGTGAAAACATCAACGGAGTGAGATTGATAATAAGAAATATAAATGATAAATGATAGTTCATTATAAAGAGGATGAAATGCTAAACATTTCCATCGCTTACAAAATGTATTTCAGATTTTTAGTTTCTGAGTTTTAATCCATATCTTTAATAAAACTCGTTATCATTTGGTTTTTGACACTGTTTTCCCCTTTTCGTCTTTCTAGCACGGCGTCGTGTTAAGATACAATTTTGAATAATCGTCTATTACAAAGATGATAAAATACTGAGCAATTCCCTCGGTACCAATATGCTGGTCCAATTATTAGTTATTTTAATCCATATGCAAAAAAAACTTCAATTAGTCTACTCCAGCCAACTTTACCCGAGCGTTGCGCATCGGAAATCTGACGACTAATCTAATTCACTCTCAACAAAAAAGTGCAAAAGACGCCTAAAGAATTTTCCTCTTAAAAAAGATAAATGAGAAACTTTATTTCAATAACTAAACCAATTTAAATTAAACCAACAAAACCAAATCTAAATACCAATTAAAGAAATTTATAATTGATGTAAAAGAGAAAGAATTACAAATTAATACTTTTTATTTTTCCTAGAAACTGTAGAAACGTAAAAATGATTTATAGAATCAATTTCAAGATCAAGAATAATTTAAACTACAACAATATATAACGCATAATCACAATTTGAGTTGACTAGGTAATATAAGGTGTAATAATTCACCGACAGGCTTCTACAACAGCCAATTAACAATAGATGCCACTCTTACGACAGCTTTCTTCAACTATCTCGAAAAATCTGAAAGCTCTACAGTACTGCCAAGATCTCCATATGCCCGAAATGGTCAGAGTTAGGTTGTAAAAGAAAAGTACTATCAAGACGGCAAATTTCGTACTTTCGTACAGTTTATATCAGGGCAGTGACTGCTAAGATTCCACCCTCACTGTAGAAGATTCTTTCTTAATAATTTGTGGTTAGCCTCGTAACCTGAAGTTATATATCTTTTAATGTTCTTTACACAAGAAAGTGGATGTACCAAATAAAGAACACAATCCTCCTGTTCCTTTACAGTAGAAGAAAGCCCCTACATTACGTTTGGAAGAATCATTTCTGTTAATAATGGACATGTAATTAAATCTTAATGAATTAAAAAGGACCCTTAGCTTTGAGCAGAGATCAGTCAACACTTGGGGAATTTCCTATTTGAATAATAAATCCATAAGAAAAATATCGTTATTTGCTTCAAGCAAGACGTACAACGAATAATGTTGTACTGATAATTCAAGTGGGAACTATTGGATTCATGACTTAATTTTTGGGGGGGGGGCTTCAACCCGAAAGCTTTTTTTTCATAAAAATAACGATAATTACTTTGGAAAAAAAGAAAGAAATTAACTACCTACATGAAATGGCGTTTAAGAGATTCCTAAAGTCCTTTTAAATGTAATTACACGAACAATAATACTTTAAGAGACTTACTTATTTCTGGTGTTCCAACGTGGGATACCTTTTCAGGTCAGAGCAGAGCTCCACATCTCTATCCTCCCAGCCACCCTCCTGTAGACCTCAGCCGGCCATCTCCTCTCGGATTCCTTCCATCCACGTGGTTCTGGGTAGTGTTGTCCAAAATTGGTCTTGGTCTTGCGCGTTGCAAGACCAAGACCGCTTAACCGTAGCAAGACCAAGTCCAGGACTGCTAAAAAAATCGATTTTTTAAATAAAAATTATGGCAAAATAGTTACTAATACTTTTATCTTAGTTACTATATGTTAGTAATTGGTATAACCAATATAATTTTGCATTTAACTCCTCTAATTTTTCATTCGGGCTTAGTTAGGTTTCTCCTATCTAAAAAATTACAGTAATATCTCTATAGTAATAAGCTAATAAGTAACTGCAAGACTGTTGCGAGACTCTTGTGAAAGACCAAGACCAAGATCAAAACTGAATTTGCAAGACCAAGACTCGTCTCCGCCTCGCCTACGCTTTTCAGGTGGCCGCCATTCCAGGACTCTGTTCGGCCAATCCTCTTCCGGCATTCTCCTGTCCATACCACCTCAATCGCCGTTTCCCGATCCTCTCAGAGACGGTCTCCTCTACACCTATTCTCTTTCTCACCACTTCGTTTTGGACTCTGTCCAGCCTCGTCAACCGTAGACACCTTCTCCAAAAATCCTTTAAGAGACAATTTTTAAATATTTTTTTCCATAAAACATGGTTATATTTTACCATTTGGGGGAGGAGGAAGAGTGGGAGGGCTTCAGCCCCAAAGCCTCCCGCCCGTAGATCCGTCCGTGAGTATGGAATCGACACTGAAACATATATTAAATGAAACCTGAACAGTGTTGTCCCAAGACTTTCATTGGTCTTATACTACTCCTAAAGTTATATTCCCAAAGACTGAAGGTATAAATGCAAATTAACTATTTAAAGATCTATTCTAGATTCTTCTATAAATCACGATTGAATGATATCTCTATCTAGATCTGCCAACTCTTAGAGGAAAACTCTATTGTTTTGAATGAGGCGGTATTTATCACATTTTAGTATAATATTTAATGAGTCTTCGATGGAGTTACATTTCGAGTATTTATGGGTTGTATTAACTTTAATTAATGTCAAGCCGCGATTAGCATGTACGCTACAGTATGTGCCGCTAGTGTGTATCCCTCTGTATGTGACGGTTATAAAGGACAATTGTAACGCCATATCACCGCGCTAAATATCGCGTTCTGTGTGCAAAGGCCTTTAGAATCACTTACGTAGGAGAGTAAAGTTACAAATTTTCTCAAGAATATTAAGTTATATAACACATTGAAATAATCATTTTTTATTCCACGTCGTTAGTGAACTATGTGTGGGAGTGAATGAGAAAGTAGAGACAAAATTTCTATTCTTAATTTTTTAATTAATTAAGCTTAAGTAATGTAATTAATTATGCCACTTACTGTACCGTAGGAATAGATTTTTACTGCAAATTAGAACGAATTCATGAAGTCTTGATAGTTTGACTTAATTGGTACGTCTACGGAACATCTGAAGATCGAAAACGGGTACTGCGGGAACGAACAGAGGATTACAATTGAAGTAGCTTGCATTGAGGGAGATGAATGATAGACGGCGGGATTGAATAACTTTGAAGAGAAAGAATTCCAGGAAATACACAGAAAGATGGGTAGGAATAAACCACTCATAAAATTGGGAGGTAGTGCTATCTATCTCTTGCGATTCCGAAGATGGATCTTACAAAGCAATTTATCAAACGTTTAAGTTTTGCTTTGAGGTGCCAAAAGACACCACACAACAGTTTTCAAATCAAACGAGCCGTTTTAGAAATACAGCTGGTGTAAAACAATCATTTATGCGTGCGAAAGAATAATAAATATATCTTGATTATTTATACCAGTGTTTAAATTTGAAAAAAAATGTATGTATAGATCGTATACATAAAAAATCGTAATTAGTAAAAAATCCTTCGTAAATTGTATTGTATAATTTTATTCATTGATCTAACGAGGAATATTTGGCATAGAAATGACAACTAGCTTCTATTCACTTGAATATAAATTTTGTACGAGAACTCAATTCGCAAATAAGTAATGGATAATATTATAAGCACAACATTACCATATCTTATGTAGATGTTCTAATTCGGTATTAATTTAAGTGAATATTCTTATATTGAATATTAAACAAAATTTAGTTTTATTATTATGATTAGTAATATTTATTTAAGATGAATTTTACTGTGATTATATTATTATTCTGGTGTGGGTTCGTTGAACGATAAAAAGATTCTAATGGAAGGTCCACCCACCATTCTAATAGTTTCACGCTACAGTACAAACAGGAACTCATTTATTCACTTTCCCTTACTGGCGAACATTTGTTTTAAAATGAGCTTAGATAAACGATTTTATTTAAGTCGATTTGAATTTTCTGTTTTGGGGAAAAAGTCTTTAGTTGATTAGGAAACGAGATCCTTACTATTTAAAATTTAAGGAGCATCCACTTTCTTTTCAGCATTGCGCCGAACAGGGATGCAACCTGGGCGATCAAAATTTTTGAGGGAGGCATATTTTGTCGGGTTTTCGAATATTAGATTGGGACACATTTCGGCGGGGTTATGAATTTTCGGAATGAAAAGTTGCATACTAAAGGAAAAGGGAAAAATCATGGAACAGACCGCAGCAAGTATAATTGTATATTATCTACTATTTTTTAAATTCTACCTTCGCTTGCTGCATTTTAAAGAAAATTTGAGCAATAAAATATCTTGGGAGAAGGGGAGGGGAAGGGCATATGTTTTTGCACAATCGACTTTGGATGAGGGAAGGGTGGACGCTCCTGGCGCCCAACACAATGAAAATAAGAAACATGAAAGATTCAAGCCAGCGCAAAGGAAATATTGGTTAAGAGACCAAGTTAATGTAATGGGGTAACAGTGTTCAATGCATGGAAAGGGAGAGGAGGGTGAACGATATAAGAGAGTAACTAAAAAATGAATTTATTATCTGTAATATATAAGTATTACATTTCCTGCTTATATTTGGAAACTCATTCCACCTAAATGAAAAAAGGAAAAACTCCAGCATGAAACAGAGAAGCACTTTAAAAATATTCCTAATGCTAATATATAATGTACTGATTTATAAGTAATATACAATAACTATGGTTTTTAATTTTTAATATCACTAACTCTAAGAGGAGACAGCGAATTTACCCTCATCAAATTGCTTGTGTATGCGAGTGGATATACGAGAGGGCCAAATAAACTCCCCCCCCCAAAAAACGGGAATTTCGTCATACTGCTTTATTTCTTAAATTTTTACACCAAATTTTGATCGCCTTCAAAGTATTCTCCCTTGAACACAACGCACTTCTCCAAACGATCATTCCATTGTTCAAAACATTTTTTAAATTCACTTATCTGGGTGTTCTTTCGGCCTTCCCGTGATTTCTGTTTTACTTCCTCTACAGTGGCAAAACGTTTCCTCTCGTGTTCCTTTTGAGTCTGGGAAACAATAAGAAATCACAGGGGGCTAGATCCGGTGAGTAGGAGTGGTGGAGGAGGGTGGACAATCAGTGTCATGTCGTTTTTGGTGAAAAACTGCTTTATGAGAGGGCGGTGTTGGCCGGCGCATTGTAATGATGGAAGAACCAGTCTCCAGTGCTCCAAAGATAAACCCTTTTTTTTTAAATTCTACCCTTCAATCTTTTTAAAACCTCCAAATAGAACTTCTGGTTGACAGTTTGATACGGGCACAAAGAACTCTGCGTGCACAACACCTCTGCAATCGAAGAAACACATGAGCATTGTCTTGATGTTCGACTTCACTTGACGAGCTCGCTTTGACTTTTCGGATGAGGAGAACCATCTTATTCCACTGGCTTGATTGCTGCTTTGTTTCGTAATCACCTTGGAAAAAAATTCAGTGTCCTCTTTGAGCTGATTTTGTAGCTCAAAATATTCCTGAAGTTCCCTTTGCTAACTGTGAGGATGGAGTGTGGACTGTCTTTCCAAAAGAAGGACATCTGGTCACCTCATATATATATATATATATATATACACACGGTGTCCTTTCAGAGAAAGGAAATATTTATAGAGATGAAAGCAGACATCAAGTGGTACAATAATGACCAATGTAATGAGAACAATCACAACTGAAGCTTAATGGATAAAGACTACCCAAAGTAACTTATAATTAAAATGTGATCTCTCTGAAACTTATCTTAGTACCAGGGGTGCCATTCCTCCCACGGTCGATGGTGCAAGAACCTACCTCCCAAAATATTTTATTGCTCCCTTTTTCTTAAAAACAGAGCAAGCTAACGAATTAGAAAAATTGTAGTTCATATACAATTACAATTACTGTGGTATGTTCCATGCCTTTCTCTTGGTCCCTTAGTCCGAAAATTCATAATCCTGTCAAAATTTGTCCCTCTCCAAAATTAAAAAAATCGTCAAAATATGTCTTCTCAAAAATTTTCAACGTGCACAATGAAACCCCCTTCTGAGCACCCCTGCTTATTACCAATTAAGTCGATAACACTTATTAAATTTAATTTTGATTAACTTATGCTATTTATAAAATAAATCAACTATATGGAAATAAAGAAAATAATAATTGCTGAGAAAGATGAAAAAATGTGTTTATTTATTGTAAAATTGTTTATAAATACATTTAAAAGAAAATCAAAGCAAAGCATAGTTGAAAGCTGTTTATCAAATAATTTGTGAAAGAATTTCAGAGCAAATTTTGTATGATAAAATTGTTTGTAAAAACATTTTAAAGGAAATCATACAAATAATGATTATAAATGTACATTCAGATTAGATTAGGCAGCTACCAATTTTTCACTTCTCTCACAAGCAGGTCACTGAAAAATATCTTAGTACAACATTCAAATGTATTTTTTATCAGAAAGCATTTAAATTTTCAGGACTATCAACCTTTTTCTTATTGATTGTGCTTTTTATCCATTGAATAAAAAGACAAGTTTAGTTGTAATGCAGGCATGACAATTGTCCCTCCTGTTTTTATCCTCAACGTAAAGTGGATGTGTATACTAATGAACTTTTTGTCTATCACCTTATATAAGCTTGAATGATGTATATACATGTACTAAAATATTACTACAGAAAAATTTCTCTGAATAAAAAATCAAACTGTACATTGCTTAACAGGCATCAATCTGCAGTTGCTAAGTCTACTGAGAAGATAATCCTTTTAAGTCATAAATTTAAAGTGTTTTCTGACTAAATGATTAAAAGCATATCGCATAACAACTAACCACCATTATAAAACAGTGAAATATGCTGAACTCAAGGCAATCTAGGCAATTTTCTGGGGAAGGTTGACTGCTTTCTGATTATTGATCTCCTGTGATTATATAAAACAGTATAAGAAATAAATTTTGGGGGAAGATGGTCATTGTCCGGGGTACCGAATGTTTAATATCATCACTATGTAATGGTTACAGCAATTATAATAACTTTCCTCAAGAAATTATCATTATTGAAAACCTCAATTATAATTAGATACTGTAATTGAATAGTAGTAATAATAGTAATTTCAAATATTTGACAAGGTTACTGTAATTGTAATTGGAGATATAATTAAATACCCATGTCATTAATTACTTCCATTATTTGCCTCTTTCTTCTGATCGTATGCTTATGGGATGATCATCTCAAATCATTTTGGAAATTTGCCAAATGTTTAATAATCCACAAAAAGTCGTTTCTGAACTCATTAATTCATATTGAAATACATAATTTCAACCTGAAATGAGCTATCAGAGAAAAAACATTTAAATTATTGGCTTATTGTTCAGAATACCTCCTAACCCACATCACAGGGGTAATGAAAAGGTTACTAAGTAACTATTCAAAAATTGTTTTGTACTTTTTACTGGAAAACATTTTTTTGGAGGATTTTTTTACTTTATGTTAATATGGTGTAAAATAGCAAAATAACTTCTTATTATTAACGTGTAGGATAAAAAAAAGAACCATTTCTGCATTCTGGATATCCACTTTTTGTGAGTTGGTCACATAAGTAGGTATTCTGAACAAACAAGTATGTATCATTTATAAATTGTATCATTTTAAAATCATATTTATCCTACAGTTAAAGATGGTGCTACAAGTGAATTCTGGATTAGGCAGATTTGAAAAGATAGAGTGCACCTTAACAAAGGAAGTAGAAAAACTAGCAAAGAAAGAACTAAGGGAAGATGAGACCATTAAGGAACAAACTTTGGCACAGTTTAGAGATTGGATTAGAAAAAACCATGATCTACAGAATATTAGAATAGGTAATGTAGTTTTACCATATTTTTTGAAATAAGTTGTACTGAAAAAAAAATCCCAAGAACATAAAGCTTATTCAACTCTTACTCAACATTAAATAACCTTTACATGTGGACCTACACTTACAAAATTTATGGAGCTGCAAAAAAGTCATACATTAAAAAAATATAAACATTTTAATGTCAATTTTTAAGACATAACATACTCACCACCATTTATTTGGAACGAGATCCCTCACACTGACTTACGCGTTTCAACTGCACCAACTCATATTCTTATGAATTAAAAAACAGTTTCATGACGAATGGACTTTGTTTAAATGGACATTTAAACAAATTTATACAACAAGTTTCAACAAATGACATTCCTGATGTACCTCGGAGAAGGCTGCAAAGGAGTTGGATGTGGGACTCCTAGTGTGACAACAAAATTTAGCTGAGTGTTAGGAGGGTGCATTGCTTGGTTCTATCTCCCTGATGATTACCCAGGCCATGATTTATATTAACTCATTTGCTGATTGTAATATTTTATAGTTACAAATAAAATATTTCAGATATAAATAATAAATATAAAATGATAACTTTTTGCATGCTTAAGGTGTAATGTAACATCTCTATTTTACATATTATTGGCTCTTAATGGTCGTTTTTGTACAATTTTTTACCATATATGTTTTGAGTTTTTACTACTCATCAATCTAGTCTAAGGTCATAAATGAAAAAAAATAGGTAATGATAATAAATAAATTTCATTGCTTCAAACATCTGTAATGAATAAATATGTAACTAACATATTTTAATAATTGTAGCTTTATTTTTTCCTATTACTTTTTTCCTTGTGTGTATGAAAAGCTCTGAAAATTTTAAAATGAATAAGAATTAGCTAGAAGTTAGAAGGTGTATGATTAAATATTCTAATCATTTTATAAAAATAAAATTAATAATATAGTATACATTTAATTGTGTACTATTTATTTACGAATCACATTTTTCTTCAATAATCCCCATCACTTTATTATTAACTTTAAACAATTATTGTAAACAACAACACCTAAAGCACTTATAATTACAATTAGACCTTAAAATACAACAAAGTTATAGTTACGTCGATTTTAACAAGTCATAATTTATACTATTGTTACTGTAAAATTGAGAATATTAAAAACAATCTTTAATAATTACTAAATAAATTATTTAAAATTAAATTATATATATCTATATATGTATATGTATTTCTTTTTTTTTGTTATCCACAGATGCCAATTTCCTGTTGCGGTTTCTGAGAACAAAGAAGTACAGTCTTCCAGCAGCACAAGTAATGTTGCTTAAATATCTTAATCTTCGGCAAACATTTAAACATTTGATGTTTGATTTGGATTATCTTGATCCACCAGTTATGGAACTGATCAATAAAGGGTACACATAATTAATACTTTTATTATAATTTAAAATAGTTATTTTAAAATTAAAGATGATAGACAATTGACTGCATCAAGGTTTTTCTTGGTTGATAAATAATCAGGAAATCGGTAAAAAATATTTAATCATTTAAACTGTTGTTTTTACCTAATCATTTTCAGGAATAAAATTAAATCAGAAATAGAGGAGATATTGATAGATTTAAATAAAATGACTGAAATAAATGACAACAAAGAAAATAGATAAATAATTAAGGTTAAATTAAGCATGAAATAAGTGATAAAGATATAAGTAATATTAGAGAAATGTATGACTCTAATAGACAGAATATTGAGGAAATATAAAATACATAACAAATCGAAGATACTTAAATAACAGCATAAACATGCAAATTAATAAAAAATGTATAGTGCAGATGAAATAAAATAAAACTAAAAATACAGTTATAATAAAATAATATAAATAAAGGATAAATAAAGTTTTGATAGAATAAAGTTCTGACCAAGCAAGTCAAATGAGATTGTCTCCGAGATTGAAGTACACAGTTGGGTACTAAGGAGGAGAAAAATATAATTTAACCGAAAAGAATTACCGAAACTCTTTATAAAATAAATACACTGAATAAAAAATGTTAAGTATATTTGTGAAATTCACGTAAATACCTAAGTAGATTTAGAAAATAATAAAACATGATAAAGACATATTGGAATATACAGATAGATAGATTGTTTGTGAGCAAATATTACTATAAATAAATATGTACATATATATTAAATGAATGTTATAATTATACAACATAGTATGGCCATGACAAGCTTTATGAAGCAAACATGACACAAACTCTGATGATCACGCAACAAACATTCTCCTAGAAGTATGAGACAACAACTGTCCTCTATATTCATTTGCTCATCGTCACCGGCAAATCAATTCACCACATTGACTGCTACATGGTATATAGGAATAATTTAAATTGTACAGCAATGAAGATTTAATTTAATTAGTTTTTTAAAAAATATATTATAAGTTTCTATATTTTTTTTTTTTTTAACTTTCCATATACACAAGAAATTCTTTATTTTCTTTTTTTAAAAGTTGATTATTTATTTATAAACCATACCAGAGGAGTTTGGAATCCAAAACATATATTTTTATTTTTTTTGAGTGTGTTATGTGTACAGTATAGGGTGTGTTGTAAATGATGAGAAATATTTAAATAAGCGGTAAAAGACCTCAAAATCTAAAAAAAAAAATCATATAGATCATTGTTTGATTTAAGTTACAAAACCAGAAAATATGTTTTGTGTTTGTTTAAGTTTCACTCAGTTATGTTTAATTGAGATAATGTTGAAGAGGTCCGAAATTACTCATGATTTCTTGATTATGTATTATTCAAGATATATCTTGTAATTAGGTCGAACTAGACTGTTTTTGCTCATTTAATTAAAATATTTAATTTTTTTAATTACTCAATATTATTTATAACAAATTAACATATTTATGTTATGTACACTATATTAGTAAATTAAAGATCATAAGATCGAATCCCAGCCCCACTTCACACTACAGCTAGTCCCCGTGGGAAGTTAGAACAAACCCCCTTAATTTGGGGAGGCCTACAAGTTGTAACATATATACTTGTAAGAAAAAAGAAAAAAAAAAAAAAAGAAACATATTTATATAATTTTAAATAAGCCACCAATGTATTCATTAGATAGATAGCTTGAAGTAATATTGACAAATAAATTTTATTTCAATTCAGTTGATATATTCAGTCAGTTGTAATATATTTTTACTTAATTAATTCTGAATTGACTATTGCTTGCTTTTAATTATTTATTTATTTTTAGGTATTTGTTTCCCTCTCCTATAAGAGACAAACATGGTAGAAGGGTTATCATTGGTATTTCAGGTACGTTTTATAAATATTGTCAAAATTTTTTCCATTGTGAATTAAAAATTTATATTTTATTAACATTTTTTTTTTCAGAATACCTAGATGCTCATAAATATTCACGGATAGATATGTCAAAAGTTCATGCCATTACATATGAAGTTCTCATGGAAGATGAACAGAACCAGATTGTTGGCTTTACACATTTTGGTGACTTCAAACATGTATCTGCAGCACACTTAACAATATGGTCCCCTACAGAGTTTGCAACTGTATTTAGATGGGGAGAGGTTGTTTAATTTTTTTAATAAGCAAATACATTTTCAGGGTTGTTGCAGTGTTTATATGCTACATTATTTTTACCACTTAGTGCATATGACTGTACGTATAAACACTAATTGTCCTATATAAGAGGTTTAATGAACTGAGGGAGAAGGGAGACTAGGTTAATAAGGAAGATGGACAAGAAACTATTTTTAGTATAAAATGTTTAGTAAAATATATCTAGCAGTTAGTAGAAGGATTCCATATGTATATTTTATTGTCCAGATAATTTAAAAAAGAAAAGAAAAAATAATAATATAAAAAAAGGAAGAAAAGATTGTTTGAGGTGATCAGTAAAAAAAAATAAAAAATAAAAAAATAAATATACTTATTTATTTTTACATTTTTTTTTATTTATTTATTTTTTTAATGACCATCCCAACCAATCTTCTCTTCAATTATGAATAACATAAATGATGAAAAGTAAAAGTGATGTGATATTTTAGAAAAAAATGAACTATTGTTAAGAATAAATATGTAAAGAGATATATTTTCTCCTTTTACATAAATTCAATATTTATATATGTTTCATATATAACTTCCATTGATGACACCTGTCGACTTTATATTGGATAGACAAGTTTTTCCCCTCAACACTTTTAATGGGTATCCACATCTACATGGGTATCCGGTATTCACATTTCACAAGCCAAATCTGTAACTCTATAACTTCATTAGGGATTACAGACTAGACCATTTTATTCAAAAGCAGAGTTCTTGAGTTCAATAAACCTATTGAAAATGGTCTTATTTCAACCACTGTACGATGTAATTAACGAATTTATAATAAGATAATTAATGTGAAATTAACCAGTTGCTTTATATTTATTACCCTGGTATGCAAACACAAAAAATAAACATGTTTGTATTTTTTGTTAAGAAAAAAAAATCTAAAGATATTTATTTATTACTTTTTCAAATATTATTTATTGAGCAAAAATTATTATTTTAAAATATCCGGTATGGTTTTATAGTTTGTTAATTTCTTTTATGATACAGTAATTTTGTAGTTCTTTTAGTTTTTACATTCTAATTTAATGTTCTAAAATAAATGTCTATTTCAGCAATCCGTACCCATGAGACACAAGGAAATTCATTTTTTAAATGTTCCATCCCCACTTAAGTATGCTTATGATTTTGTAAAGTCCTTGATGAGTAGTAAAATAAGGGAGAGGCTAATGGTAAGTTCTAAAATAAAGCTTTAGAATAATTATTTTTTCATTGATATGCTAGGCTTATTGTTTTGTTTATAACTGCTTATTTTGAACCATAATAATGTATATAATGTATGTATTAATTTCAAATCAATATTGTTCACCTTTTTATAGTATTATAATTTTAAAGGAAAGTACAAGTTCAATGCGTAGAAGTTTGACTGTGTATTGAAATCCTGATGTAATTTTATTCCACAGTATTTTTACAAAAAAAAAGTGTTGCATTAATCATTTTCAGAATGCAAAATTTGGTGTTTGATGAAATACTTCTCATTAGCCAACAAAAATACTGAAAAAATAAAAGCCTCCAAACCATATCCAATGCAATGTGGCCAAGACAGTCGGTCATCAGAACTTAGAATGGCTTATAATAGTTATTTTATTGATTCATTCAGGGTAAATCAGGTACTCTAACTTGGGATTCATCCACACAGCTCATTAAAAATACCATATTTAATTTAACAGCCATTTCTTCTAGGCTTAGAAGGGAGAGTTGAGAGGACATTTAAACATCTCAGCTGATTTTGATGAAATTTGGTGTATTCCTCTATCAGGCTCTTCCTTCTAGGTAGGGCCAACCTCTTAATCTAACATAAATTCCAACAATTTGTATGGATTTGGATTAGTATTGTCATTTTTTAAAAATTTTTTATTTTGCACCAATAATAACCTGTATTGACTAGGGTGATGGGTAAAGCAGCAAGTTTAGTATTTTTAAAAAAAGATCCCATATATTGTGTGTGTGTACAGGAGTTCAGGGTCGGCGAGCGGATTAAAGCATGTACAAAAATGCTCTAGACTTCAAGCTTTATTATTCAAATAATTAATTCCACATACAATAGTTAAAGAATAAAATGTATATTTAAATAAATTTGCCCCTCATAATCATAGACAGTCTGTTCCCGGTAAAAAAATATAGGTTCTTGTGCAACTTCAGATTCTGAGCAGCCATAATACATGAATCTATATCAATTTGTCACTGACCTTGAATCCAAGTGAGCCAGTGGGAAGGACACTGCCAGATTGGCTCCAAAGAGATCGACTATAGAGCTATAGGCTATATTGATCCATATATGCCGTTGCACCATAGAGACTATTGTTCATAGCAATGTGCGATTGGTTGTCTCCTCCATCCTATCTGTGTTCCAGCCAGCAAAATATGTCTGTAAGAATATCAAATCTACATGATCCATAGCGTGAACTGAAAACATTATGTAGATCTTGTTTTATATTTTCTTACGGATGTATATTGCTTACAGGAGCACGGATAGCCTAGAAGGGGTCATTAAACCTAATGGTTCTATGAACCATGGTTTCCATTGTGGCGACAGGCCACCCATAGCTCCGGAGTTGATTCATTTGGGACCAATCAGGACAGTGACAAATCAGTCTAGATCCATGAATTAAGGCTGCTCAGTGTCAACAGGTGCAGGAAAACCTTATATTTCTTTTCCTGAAATAGACTGTCCATGAATCAAACCTCGGTGGACTACTGAAATCCTGGAAAATCACATCATTATTCCTGATCAAGTGATTAAAGTAAATACTGATGGGACTTATATACTCAGGGGAGAGGGATAGAGTGAATCTTGGGCAAATTGACTTTCCTTGGTGGATGGTCATCCATTCAAATACTCACTATGCTCAACATTGGTTAACTTTGATTATTTACTTCAAGTGTCTTTTATCCTGTTTGGCTCATATTGTATATATATATAAAACTATTGTCATATTGTAACATTTCAGGTACACAATAATTTAGCGGAATTACATGCTAATTTGGACCCTAAGGTATTACCAAAGGAATATGGTGGTGATATACCAATGGCAGAAATGATTGGTAGGTTTTTTTCCTTTAAAACAATAAATTAACAAAATAGGATTAAATTTTTAAAGATGAAGGCACAAGTTTATTTATATTTATTAAAGGTTTAATATGCTACTAACATACTACTCACTTTTATTTACAATTTATAACACAATAGTCATAAATGAACATAAATATTTCTAAACTGAGCTTGAGGAATATTCCATGAAGAACAGGTTTCAAATATTATAAGAGATAGACAAACTAGTTTGAAACTATCAATTATTATAAAATATAAAATATAGAACTGAAAAAATTGGCAACAGTAAATTCTCTTTATGACTTACTTGTAATTATTTACGATGACAATGTATTCAATAACTTAGAATATTTATTACTGAACTTTATTTATTTTATTTTTTGTTGCAATTTTAGAAATGTGGAAAAAAGAACTGGCTGAAAAAAGAGAAAGGCTTTTAGCATTGGATCATATGAAGTTGCTGGATAATTCTTGTTTATCTAAAAAAGGAAAAAATGGCAATAACAGAAGTATCGATACTACTTCAGTTATAGGAAGTTTCAGGAAATTGGAGGTTGACTAAACTTTGATAAATCTAAACTTTCTTAATCTAATTTGTACCTGTGGCATTATATTCATTCAATACAAACAAGTTTCAAAGACAACTGTAATCAACATAATAGTTAATAAAAGTTCATAATAGTTGATATAGCCATTGGTTTTGTATAAAGGTTTATGAATGCATAAAACTAGCTTATTAAATATATATAGATAGGAAAAAAAAGATAGTAAGAGTGGAAAGATTGCATTTTCATTCATTAGAAAATATAAAATAAAACAGGCATTACCAAAAATATTGAGATAATGTATATACTGTTTTTTTATTTGTTTGTTTTTTTACATTTTTAAGTGAAGATTTATATATTTTTATATTTGTATATAAATAAATAGTAATGTATCATTAGAGGTAAATTTATGTTACAATTGTTTTTTTAATCTTTTTGTAAATAAATTTCATACTTTTAAAAAGTTAATTATTTAAACCATTGAATTCCAACACTGATTTTCATATTTTTAAAAATTTATTTTAATATACATGCCATTCTTTCTGAAAATGTAGTATTTAATATGAACTTGAATGTCTTATAAATAAAAGAGCCTAGCTTTAACAAATCATCTGAATAAAAAATTAAATTAAAATATTTTTATATAAAATATTAAGTTAAAAATATTGCTGGAATATTTTCATTAATACAAATGAAAATATGCCATACACCATCCAGATGTATGCATTTAATACATGTTCACCAGTATTTCTTCATGCCAATTAGTGATATTTTTATAAGACAACAATTTAACATTTTAGTGTTAAAATAATCTAATACAAAAAAACACTTTTATTTTATTTTTTAAATGCTATCTATACGATACGAGCCTTGTCTAAATGTCAGTTGGGTCAGGTCAGTCAGATAGCTCAACTGAAATTTGTGTGACCAGTGTGATTCTAGTCTGATATAGGTTTTTGACACATTTGTTAATTCTTAAGACACAAAAATTCCGCTTTTAAGAGGAATTGGTCAAAATGGCATGTTTTGGGGAACATACTCTCAGTCCACCAATTTCTTCAAGAGAAAATCTACAGATTTAAGACAAGACGAATATAGGAAGAGTCATATTTTCAAAGAGCCTGACACTTTACCAATATCATCATGTAAGTTGTTCATTTTTATAACAATTAATTAATAATATTTTTTTGGGTGGTCTCAATTTAAAATTCTTAAGTCTTTCAAGCTGAAATTTGTTATAAACTAGTTGTCATTTTGTTTTACTTGTATTAATTTACGATGTAATTCAATAACTGTTTCTTAATTTGTAATTTATCTTTAAAAAAATTATCCAAACAAAAATTGTACTACAGATTGGAGGGTATAATTTACTAATTAGACTATTAAAAATAAATTAAAAAATAATTATTTTATCATCAAAATTTGAGATTTTCAAGTAAAATAAGTAGAAAATAAAATTTTAATTTATTATTGAATTAATGTATTCCAATGTGGAGCTTTTGAGAGGAAGGAAGAAAATTCATTGCTGGTAATTTAAATTAAGGTTTTATAAGAAATACCAAACTGATCAAAAATTATTATTTTTGAAATACTGCTGCAATCTGGCGTACAGTTTAATTTTTATCTCATGTCTTTACTAAAATCAAAAATAAGATCAAACAACATAATTTACTTAGGGAATGGAGTACTCAGAAAGACTTATGATTACTCAAAAACAGTAATACTAGACTTTATCAGTTAACCAAACCTTACATAGCTCTGCAGTGTTTTGAATATTCATTGATTTCAAATTGATGTAAATGGAAATTAAATAAATATTGCATTTATAACAAAATTCATACGTTCATTATGTCTTCATGTCTTCACAAAGACATGATTTGATTTGATTATTTTAAAAACTTGCACTATCAATTTTCAAATATTTTGCATGTTACACCAAAAAAATCTGATATGCTACCGAGTTTGAACTTAGTAATCCTATGGGTTTTAACCCATTTCTATCCTGGATTGACACCCGTTTAGTTAATATTGCTTTGCTAAATGATGTAGACCATTGGAAAATATTTCTGATAAAATTTGGTTGAACCCATTATAAAATTGATCAATCACCTCATTAGTCATTTCATAATCAAATGTTTTCATGACTGACAAACAAATGGTAGACTAAAAAAAAGAGGGTTCATTGTTCAGACGACTGCAAAACAACTGTTTATTTGATTATGATTTAAATTTTTTTTTTTAATTTTTATCTTGCTCTATCTCACTATAGATCTCAAAAACAAAACAGAAAAAACAATGAATTTTGTTTATAACTAATTTAAATTCATTAAATGTTAATGATTTGGCTTGTTGCCATAATAAGAATGACAATTGAATCAGTTGAAAAAACATCATATTTATTTCTTTTTTTCTATTTATTTCTTTTAGATATAGGTAAACCACTGTCACTTGTTAGTTTGTGATCAATCTATTCAGAAGGGGGAGATCTCCTTAAAAGCTAAGGTTTTCCTGGCTGCAGCCTTGAGTGTTTCAGGGGATATTTTCCATTGTTTTTCAATACCATCTTCCAAAGCACCCATCCCCTCAATAAATTCTTCTCTGAGAAGATTCTGATATTCATTACAAATCCAATTGACCTTTAATTGGTCCTCATCATATCTCTTATGTTTTATATGTCATATATTAAACTGTTTTAGAAAGTTAAATTGACATATAACATAATTCTATAATATACCTAACAATTTTCAGGCACCAATTGATGAATATTAAGCATAAGATATTATTCTAAATAGGAATATTCGGTAGTATAGATATACAGTTCGAGGTAAATAAAAAAGTACAACTGATAATTTTGTTTAAATTATTATTATTGTTTAAATTTTAAAGATGCCTTTTATGACTTGGAAGTCCTCCTGAATGTGTGAATCTGTAAAAAGCAGCAGCATACAACTCTTGTATGCTCAAATGAAACTCAATATTGTCAAATGAAAAATGGAGCATAGCTTAAAGATGATGTGAGGGTTTGCTCATATTATGAAGTGCTTATAAGGGTTATAGTTAAATCCATACCACTTGCGATTAAATTTGATATAGATTGATTATGCATGATATTTCTGTAATAAAAATAATTCTACTTTAATTTATGGTTTCTATTGGGCGCCTTCAGCCGGATCTCAACAATAAAAGGCTGGGTGAGAAAACCTAACCCTCCCATATACATACACATGAAAATAAAATAATATCATAGGATCTGGAATGTCTTTATAGCTGAGAGGGATGAGAAAAATAATGTTCTTATGGAAAAAAACTGTTGAAATTTTATATTCTTCATTTTGAAATAGCTATTAACAAAAATTATGTTTAGCTTATTATAAAGCTAACTTCTTGCATTGTCTGATTTATCATTCCATGAACACTGCCAAGAAAATGTATTTAACAATAGAAAAAACAATTTTTGCTTTGTATTAATCCACACACATATTTTTTAAAAAAGACATATTAATTTACTCATTTTTCCTAAGGTATGTCAGTTATTGATATACTATCAGCTACTAGTACTTTTACTCTAAATGGCCTCCATGGATTTGAAATAACTAGTTTGGCGAAAACAGATCACAGAGTGGCTGTGCGAAAATACATAATAATATAGTCACATAATAAATTATACAGAGTTCACTAAACTGCAAATATGAACTAAGGACATCAAAATAAGAAAAAAATTTCCTCTGAAGGTATGTCCTCAAACGCTTTGTCTAGGAGATATTCACACCTAAAGATTTTCGTTGTTATGAATTATTTATGTTATATGAAATAAGTGAAACCTATTTATTTGTTTTTTACTATTTTATTAATTAAATGTAAACATTAACATTCATATGTCATATAAATGTTGTTCAAAATGATTTCCTTGAGCATTAAGACAGGCTCAGCGTCCTACTTCAACAGCAGCAGTGGCAGAATGGCACTGGATATGTGTTATTGTTTCACAACATTCAATTATCCTTCCTTGTAAGGAATTAAGGTCATTGACCGAACTTTCTCAATCATATCCCATTTCCCATATTCCAATCAATGGATTGGCCATGATGGACCAGTGGCTTGGCCTGCATGCTCTCCAGACCTGACACCACTGGATATTTTGTTTGAGGTGACATTAAATAAAAAGTCTAAGCAAGTCTGGCCAATGAAGCTAATTCCTTATGAAGAAGGATAATTGAATCTTGTGAAATAATAACACATATCCAGTACTGTTCTGCCACTGCTGCTGTTGAAGAAAGATGCCTAGCCAATCTTAATACTCAAGAAAATCACTTTGAACAACATTTAATATGAATATTAATGTTTACATTTAATTAATAAAGTAATTATAACAAACAAATAGGTTTTATTTATTTCATATAACGTAACTAATTTATCTAGCTTGGACTAATTTGTCGTTTTAATTCTTAAGGTTGATAGATGCGATGATGGATAAGGTGACCTCAGTGGTAATATTAGATCATATATTTTCACTGTTCCGCATGGAAGTATAAATTATTTTAAATTAAAATGTCCATCCTCTTACCGTCCTATCTCTCTTTTACCCATCATGGGCAAAATCCTAGAAAAACTCATCTTAAAACGCCTGTACCCTATCCTAAATTCTAAACACATAATCCCAGATCACCAATTTGGTTTCCGAACTTCCCATTCCACTATACAGCAATGTCATCGTGTGGTAGACGTAGTCTCCTCTGCATTGGAGCGCGGAATGTACTGTACGGGAGTCTTTCTCGACGTTGAACAGGCGTTTGATAGAGTTTGGCACCCGGGACTGCTGTACAAACTCCGAAAATTCCTACCACCTACATACTTCCTCATTATCCGTTCCTACCTTACTGATAGATACTTTAAAGTAAATCACAATAACGCCTATTCATCCCTTTTTTCCCAGTCTGCTGGTGTTCCTCAAGGTAGTATCCTAGGTCCTATCCTCTATACAGTTTATACAGCTGACATCCCTACCTGTCCCAACACTGTCATCACCACATATGCCGATGACACATGTATCCTATCAGTAAACAATGACCCAGCAATTGCATTCCAAATGCTTCAATCACACATCATAAATCTAGAAGAATGGTGTCAAAACTGGAGAATTAAAATAAACTCCAATAAATCCCACCAAATTACCTTTACCCTTCGTCGTAAACCAACGACTTCCTGTCCTACAGTTTCCTTTAACAATACTCCACTTATCCCTGTTGAGCAAATCCGATACCTAGGACTCCACCTGGACAAACGACTAACTTGGAATCCTCATACTAGACTGAAACGACAAGAAACCGCTCGACGTTTCCGATTACTTCAGCACTTACTAGACAAACGCTCTAAACTTCCCATTAATTACAAAAGACTTATATACTTGACTATAATAAGACCTATTTGGACTTACGGAGTTGAGCTATGGGGCTCCACTAAACCATCGAATTCCTCTCGCATCCAATCCTTACAATCCAAAATCCTTCGTAAAATCCTCAATGCTCCTTACTTTGTCACTAATAAAATTATCCATAAAGATCTTAATGTTCCTTATGTTTCAGATCTGGCCCAATCCAGATACCTATCCTTCCATAATAAACTTCAGAATCATCCCAACCCTCTCGTTTCTAACCTTGCTTCCTCTTCAATTCCTGATAACCCTCCGAGGCGTCTGAAAAGAAGATGGCCCCGTGATCTCCTAATATAGTCATATCATTAGAGTGCTACCATTGGGTAGTTACTCAGCAAGTGTATTCATGTCATTATATCAATTATGTCCAAATTTACTTGATGTATTTATGTAATACAGTTGTAAATGTCATAAAGAAATAAAAAAAAAAAAAAAAAATTAAAATGTCTTGTGTCAAAGACAATTTCTTATAACCCTTATTTAAGTCTTTCTTTTAAACATAATTTTATGAGTATAATCATTAGTGAATTCAAGATTTAATTTTGGAGGGAAGCGTTTTCAGCCCGAAAGCTTATATATATATATTCATATAAAACGCTAATTACTTTGGAAGAAAAAAAAAGAAACTACCTACTTTTATAAAATGGTGTTTAAGTGATTCTTGAAGTCCTATTAAATTTAATTACACGAACAATAATACTTTTACATGACATA